GCTCTTCCTGATGCAGACCAGGATCCCATTGGCCTTCTTGGCCACAAGGGCACATTGCCGCCTCATGGTTAACCTGTTGTCAACGAGGACTCCCAAATCCCTCTCTGTGGAGCTGCTTTCCAGCAGGTCATCCCCTAACCTGTACTGGTGTCTGGGGTTATTATTCCCCAGGTGCAGGACCCTGCGCTTCTCCTTGTTGAACCTCATGAGGTTCTTCCCTGCCCAACTCTCCATCCTGTCTAGGTCTCTCTGAATGGCAGCACAGGCCTCTGCAGTGCTGGCCACTCCACCCAGTTTGGTATCATCCGCAAACTTGCTCAGGATGCACTCTGTACCCTCGTCCAAGTCATTGACGAACAAGTTGAACAGTACTGGACCCAGTACTGACCAAAATGGACTACTGCCATACCTCTAACACACTGCCTACCAGATGGGATAAGGTACGATGACTTTTTGTTTCTTACAGCACTTGCAAGGCTTGGTTAGGAAGACAGGTCTGGAGTTCGTCTCATCCTCTGCCAGGGTGAAATCAAAAATGATTCCAATTTTGCCCATACTTTGGGTAAACTGGAGCTCGATACTCCAAAGATAGGTTCTGTCTATGTGATATAAGCAGGTTTCTCCTTGAGATGACTCAGAGGGGCACAGGAAATTCACTCAGAACGCTACCATTGAAAATGTCTTTTGGGTGTCATATCTTCGTTTAACTGTGAGTTTAGATAAATAGAATGGAAGTATTATAAAGCTCGAACGCAATGATGAACTTGAAGATCAGTGCTCAGGCAGACCCTCGAAAAAACAACTTTCAAAGAAAACTTCAGCGTCTCCCCACATATATCTTCAAAATTGAAGCCTTTAAGGAAAAATCATACTTTTGCAACTACTATGACTATTAACAATTATATAATTAAGGGTTTTTTATGGCTAAGTTTACACAAAAAACACAAATACTCAGAATTAATTAAAAATATTTTGTATTTAAAAGCTTAATTTTCAATAGCCTGTAGCTAGAAGGAACTATAATAATGACTTAGCCTTGCCTACAATTTCCCCCATAAATACTTGATTAAATGATAGGCTTTAGGCAAAAACACAAGTTAGTTATCTTAGCTCCCAATAGCCTACAGAGCTCTAACTCCAGTTAATGATGCCTGATTCAGTTGTTCACACATAGGCATCTAACATCACCTAAGATGATATGGGAACTTGCCTGGAGTTCAGATGCTACTCCAAAAGGACACGAAGGTCACCTAAATCCTGTCTGGGATCCATGTGGGTTGTTTCACCTCTAATGGCAGCATCATTCCTTATGCCAAATTTATCTAACCCTTAACTAGACACTTGAATTCTGTAACTGGGCTGCTCTCTAGGTTTCCTATTGACTTCAGCGACTTAATTGCCTAAAACTGGCATTTAAAAATCTGGCTTGCATGTGCACAGCTACAATGAAAGCAGTTAAATTTAGATGTCTGCTTCTTCATCTGAATCCTATCCATTATAAAATACACACAGGCCAAGAATTCCTAGTTATAATCTATAGTACTGGAACCATTTGGTGAAGGACAGCTGGTTATGGGGGGCTCGCTGTCCTCCAGAGAGATAGTTACTAAGGTTACAACCCCCAACTTTGCTTTTTATTATTTTTTTGTAACATCCAATCATCTTCCAGTCTTTTAGGACTAGTTGTGGTTTTTTGAGGACAGGACTACAAGACTATGAATATTTGTATATTCGGGCTAATTGCCAGCTCCACATTTTTTGCTTACATTTTGTAAGGTGTAAAACACTTTTTAAACTATTCTATTTGACCTTGATATGACTTTAAAAAGAAATTAATTCATAGATGTTTATTATTTAAGGTGGAATACCTTTCTTCCTTAAAACCGTACCATTTTTTGTCAGTCCTCAAAATATATGCCAGTGATTTGCTTAGAAAAAAAAAAATATTTTGTATTAGCATGCTTTTTAATCATTCAATTTTATGCTTTCTACAAATTCTCTCTACTTAGATATACTGTGAAGACGTCAATGTGAGATATAGCCTAACAGTATTGTCATTAAGCTATCATAGAATATCATTTGTTAAGATTCACCTTTTATTTAAGAACAAAGAAATAAGGAGCTAATTTTCCAATCACACAGGAATAACTATGGAGTAGCTTAATCAGTCTTAAAACTTAGGAAATGGAATGCATACAATCTTAGAGGTCACTGTGTGAATATTCTAAGGAAACCTACACACTTTAAACCGGGATGATGATGCACTCCTGTTTAGCCAGTGTTCACAGACAAACTGTACTACACAGTCAGTGATACTTATAAGAGGAATAAAGTTGAAAACACTTGAAGACTTAAAACTAGGATTCCCAAATGGATAGCAAGCTCCATATGATATGGAGACATTTCTGTCATCATGAGTTAATTAAACTGAAGCGATTAAAACATAGTTAAAAATATCTTTCCATACAATCATATATAGTTTTCCTTTTAAATATATTTATACCTATATATAGATATATATGAAAAAAAACGTAGGCCCTAAATACTTTTTTTTTCAGATAGATAAGTTTTTTAAAAGCAAATAAAAGGATCCTGACAATGATGTGTGTCCCCCTTGATAAAATAAAACCTTACTTAAAAAGAGACCATCTTAAGGCTACCCATTTAGAGGTGAAAATAAGTATTTGAGATTTCAGGAGCATTAAGTTAAGAGAAGCTAATCAGATTCAGTTCACACTGTGGTGGTTCATAGCCCACATCTAATCCAAAGCAGCAGTCTTCATGTGATAAGAGCAATCCACTAATCAAATACAGCAATCGTATTTTTTAAAAAAATTCAGACCCAGAATTACTCCCCTAAAGGAGCTATATGCTCAAGCTGACCTTGCAGTTATTGATTTTTAACAACATATTCTCATTTTTAAAATTACAATTACAATAAAAACATGAAAAATCACCCTTAAAACCATATTGTGAACTCTGCAAAAGGCTCTTTTCACCTCACAGGCTTAAACATTATTTATTTACCCGAAAAGATAAAGTAGGATTTTTTTTTTTATCTCATTCCTTTTAATGAGGCAAATGTCTAGTCCAGTTATTGTCTTTGTATTTTATTCTATAACACATTCTGATTATATTTTCTATTAAATTCTAACTAATAAGTAAATTTGTTCAAAAGCTAGGATAATTGTTAAACTCTTCTTTCTAATATTTCTTCTCTAAATAGAAAAGGAATGCACTGCTTACATCCTGGACTAACTCTGCAATGTCTGTAAAGCTTGGGGACCAATCCTTTCAACCCAAGCAACCTGCTATCTACCCAATATTCTGATACATGCCATGTGCTATTAACAATTTGATGAATGAAATGAAAGCATGTGACCACCTACCCACACACCTTGGCAGAGGTGCACTCCATACACACCGGCCACCACCCAGACAGGTAAGTTTATTAGCACCTTCCAAGCGATATCCAGGGAAACAAGAAAAAATCAAGGAATCTCCAACACCGAAATGAAAACCAATTCGCCTACTGAAGGCTGGAACCCCAGGATCATCACATGGCTCCAGATCATATTCTGCAAACAATAAAACATAATTAGATTAAGTACATGGGACAAGTTGCTCATTTAAAAAAATATTAAATAAGTTAGTTGCATAGTATCAGTATAAAACACTTGGAAACATGACTTTCAAGAGACATTTTCTCTACTATAAAGGAGTCCTGTTTCTATATTTCTATTATGGTCATATATACAGTAATTAGATATCTATTGTGTCTCAAATGCAGTACATTTATTTTCTTAATTTCAAGGTCTGTAATCAGCTTGTACCATGAGTGGTTCACTATAATTTTGTTTAATTGCATCCTTTGTAATAATTCTTTGTTCATTTCCTCTGAACTCCCAAACAGCCTTACGAGCAAGACTTATGGCTTGAAAATTCATTAGGTAATGAAATCGAACAAAAATCAACTGAAAGTTCAAGCGAAGGAGAATATGTAGGATCATATTTTCAAAAAAATCTGCTTGAGTACCGTCTACCCTCCAACAGACACTTTCTACCTGTTTGCCTTTTAGAAATCTCATAGATGTCACCTTTTTATTTTTTTTAAGATTCGAAGAGTCTGAATTTGTTCTCACTTTTGTAATTGAATCTAAAATAATCCACAGAATTTGGAAAATCTACATTAACATAAACCAGTTGCAAAAAACAGTAATATGCCTCTTAAAGGATGAAATTATCTTTTCAGCACCACTTAGATGACCTGTTTAGCTTACAATAGATACACACAGATACATACCTGCAATGGAATTCTTACTGTTCTCAGAGGAAATGCTACTTTCTTGGATTAAGAACAGCATATAGTATTTTTCAGTTTTGTTCGCATCAATTCTTTGAAAATATTTTAAAAGAACACTTTTTCTTTTTGTAAAGCAAATCCAATCATATTGAATTTGAATATTGAGTTAGAAAAATTTTTAGTTAAAATTTGAACAGCTGAAAAATGAAACAAAATATCTATTTTTGGATACTAATAAATAAAGCTGGCCTATCTGTCAAATAACAATACTATTTTTCCATCATGTAACAATAAAAATACTACAGAAAAAGCAGAATCAAAACCAGCATATTGCAACAGGAAAAATGTATTTTATCAATTAATAATTACCACAGTTATTTAAATAAATACAGATAACATTAACAGAATCTTAAATACAAATAACAATGTATGTTGGTCACACATGTGGAGATGGAACTGCCTGTGTTTCAACTTGTACCCGTTACCCCTCATCCTGTCACCATTATGTCAAACTATTATTTTTTTTAATCGTTGAACAAAAATTAGTAAAAAGTTATTTACACCAAGCAATACAAATACATAAAGTATGTAGACCTAAATTCAATTGCTCTTTCCTTTTCTTAATGAATTGTTCTTTTCCGGGAGATATGAAGAATTAAAAATAATAATCAATTATTTATTTTGTCAGTTGGCAAAATGACATACAGAGAATAATCTGTAACTCTGCACCACAACATTTCTGTCTAAATACTCTGAAAAACTCAGTGTCCAGCTTGCACATTCTAGAGCAATAGTAGAGCAACAGAGCAATACTATAATAATTAAATTGAAATCTGAAACAGTAACTTTTGTTACCTATATAAGTAATACAAAGAGAAAAGACAGAACTGGTAACATTAGTCATGAAGATCATCCTAATTAGGTTAGTTATTTTCCTAACTAGTTAATTCTCTTAATTAGGTGGCTAAGAATCCAAGTCGGGTGAAAAGAAGAACTCTTTGGTGAAAAACAAGGTCTGTTCCATGGAGGGGCTATACTTGACTTAGGAAATATCTGGGTCACATTCCTGCAGCCTAACAGAACATCCTGAGGAAGCATCATTAAAACTTCCATCTTTTCTTTGTGCACTATTCCATATGTAATCACTACTGATCACTGCTACAGATAAGACATGGTAGAAGATGGGCTGTAGGTCTGACCCACAACGACTTTATTTTCTCTTCCTTGGAATCTGATACAAAATATCATACAAAATATGATATAAAAAAGCCAAGATATCATTTCAGAGATGCCACCTTTGAAAAATGGGAGAAAAATAGTCTGTTCTTTATGTCTCCTCTCCCATTTAGCCAGGCACTTGTCCCTAACTGAAATTCATGGCCCTGAACTGTTTGCCAGACTTAGGTGCCTACAGGGAACCCTTCTTATTGTTATGTGATGACAAACACAAATGTCGAAAAATGCTTATAACAAAGTATAGTGAATTATTAATTTAAAAAGAAACCTGCCTCCTCACATTATAGAGAAAACTTTATGTGTCAAGTAAAAGAACCATACTATTTGTGTCTCCATTTTTCTGATTTAGACCACCCAAAAATATTTTATAGTACCTTTTCTAAAACATTTTTTTTGGAGGCTGGACTGATAGGATCAAACCAGTTAGTGAAAGGAAGAAATTAATCTAAAGATTCTGAATGAGTGTTTTAAGAGCTGAGTATGTACAAAATCAAGAAATCCTTTCCCTGTAGTAACTCCTGTGGGAAGGTCCCAAAATATTAGAAGTGATCTACGGACCAAATCACGTCTGGTAGACAAAAGTTTAAGATTTTGAAAACATGTGACCTCTGCTCAGCACTACAAAGGCTCAGGTAGAGATGGTTTGGCAATGGGGAAATTGCTGACAAAAATATAAATTCCAATATATTTTAGACTTAAAGATCAATAACGATGAGTGGAGCTTCTGACTATTTAAATATGAGATTGCCATGTTAGAAAGCATGTAAACTGTAACCAAAACCAAAATACAGCTGCCTTTGTGATACTTAACCAGTAGGTAAAAAAAAAGATAAAAAAGAAAACAAAGGCTATATGTATCAATCCAATATACTCTATTATGCTATTCCTGTAAAAAAACAACAGCAAACCAGCTTCCACAACTTGGTGGGTCACATAGTCATGCAAAAATTCTAATATGCCCCCCAAATTATTACAAATATGATTATGTTATGAACAGATTTACTATATTAATTTTAATCACCAGACAAATACTTTTGATCAACATTTATAAAAAACCTTGTATTTTCTCACAGACTTGTCACTGATTCTAAATTCAAATTGATTTTGTGCAGTACTTCTATCAACTTTAAATGATTTGTGCTTTAATTTGATTATGGCTTCCTCACCCCTCTATTCTGAATACCGCTTTCTCTTTTTTTTCCCTGTAAATTCTGTTATATCTGTAGTCATAGCAAGAATAAATGTGAAAATTAACTTTATTCCGTTAACAGCAATGCGTGTATCCATCATAAAAGGTTTTGAGCAGACGGCAGCAGTTGGTATATGTCTAAAAACCATCTGAGATGGTTATTGTGTTTTCTTGCTATAGGATTTAAAATATGTCAAGTGTAGAACTTCCATCATTTGATTTCTAACAAAATAACCTCTTCCATTTCGAAACAGACAAGTGACAACATAAAATCTAAATTCCCTCAGAGAAAAGCAATCCTACACTGCCTTATTCTAGGAATTAATTTATGACAGTACAATGTGAACATAAAATAGATGTAAGATGCTTCTCAACAAGAATGCAACTGTAGCTTCAAAATTTTTTGCTTTACCCCAAGGAAATAATAGATTCACATACCAAATGGTGGGATGACGAATGACAATAGGCCTAAGTTGAAACAGAAGTTCCAACTGGATATATGGATTTTTTTTTTTTTTAAACACATTGGAACAGGTTGTCCAGGGATATTAAGCAATCTCTGTCCTCAGAGATCTCCATCCTTAAAGACCTACCTGAATTTTTATTTGTTATACTATACTATGCCATTTTATACTATTTTCATTTTATATGTTATTACCCTTATATTATTATAGTTTACGTATATATATATATTTCTTGTGTTATTATATAGAGAAAATAATTTTTTTGCAAATTATTTTATGATACTATGATGGATAGCCCAGGCAAAGATGCATATGGGAAGGAATTAAAGATTATATGGAAGAGACTTTAATCAAAAACCAAGATCTCTTCTTTGATATTATTTCATGTGTATGTACAAGTGGTACAGTATACATAAAATATCCCTTTGTAACTTTATTGAAAGCAATACTCTGTATGTTAGTTCAATTCTTTACGTATGTAATTTGTATATATTGTCACTGCTACTTTTGAAAGTCTTTTTCAAAATGAAGAAAAAAAAATCCTGTAAAGGTAATTTTTTTCTTTATAGCCGTCACAGGATTTTTTTTTCACTGCCAAGATAATGGAAATTAAGCTCAACAGTAGTGTCACTCTGTTGTCAAAAGTTGTTTTCAAAAGGTAGAACAGAACAAAATGGTACATATATGTCACAGCAAGAATGAAAATAAAAAATTCTTTGCATTCTTGATGTTTTATTTTCTATTTGAGTTACCAATTTTTGTATTATCTATTCCATGTTTGGTGGAAGAAGTTTGACAGTTGACGTTGAATTCAGACTAAGCTCTTCTCAATTAATATTGTTTACTTTGAAGATATACATTCTGATTGTGTAAAGATAAGAAAAGTCACTCTCATTTGTGACAAAAGTAATGTACCTGATAATATTTTTCAGAATATTTAATACATGATATCTACTTGCGTATTTGCTGTAGACAAAGCATAAACCCTTGCTTGTCTTTGAAAAACTAGCTCATATATTTTTCTCCTTACATCCCAAATTGTGCATTTTCCTGGTAGTTACATAGCCATCTACCATTAATAAATGTCCATTAATGAATATAATTAATAAAAGCCCTCTACCATTTATAAATAAATGACCAAAGGTAATTTTCAGTATCAGAGGGTCCAATATAGAGCAACAAAGCTGACTAAGGGACTGGAGCATCTATTGTCATATGAGGAAAGACTAAGCGAGCTGGGCCTGTTTAGCCTGGAGAAAAGAAGACTGAGAGGAGATTTGATTAACATGTTCAAGCACCTGAGGGGAGAATGTAGGGAGGATGGGGTCAGGCTCTTTTCTGTGGTGGCCAGTGACAGGACAAGGGGTAATGGGTACAAGTTGAAACACAGGAACTTCCATCTCCATGTGAGAAAGAACTTCCTTCCTGTGAGGGTGACAGGGCCCTGGAACAGGCTGCCCAGAGAGGTTGTGGAGTCTCCTTCTCTGGAGATCTTCAGAACCCACCTGGATGTCACCCTGTGCCATGTGCTCTAGGTGTCCCTGCTTGAGCAGGGGGGTTGGACTAAATGATCTCTAGAGGTCCCTTCCAACCTCAACCATTCTGTGATTTTGTGAATACTTAATATTTGGATTTACATTCCAAATTTCTGGAACTCTGGCATCTAATTTGGTTAGTCCAAAGAATCCTGAATGAATGTAATTCTGCATCTGATATAAGCAAATCTGACATCAGCACTCTAATGAGTAAGGTTTTTTTTTTAAACAAGCCAGCCAAATGAGATCTGTTATTTGTAAATATCATGCACACTTGACAATACTACTGAATTTTGGGTAAAATACACTGATCTTTAACTTTTCTGTGCTTGAAATACTGTTTATGAGGATTTTGTATGTTAGTTCTTTATGTGGTTCTTCCAAAGAATATTGCTGTACAAAAACAAACACAAGCATCTTAACTAGTGGATGGGTTATTCATATTCAGTATGTGTAAAAATGCTACATTCCGTTACTAGAAAGAAGCACAGATCATGCTTGCAAAGTGTAGTCTAGTTTAAACAGACTGTGACTCTGAATTAGTTTACTAATGGTTTTCCACTCTTTCTATTCTCTTTCTTTATTGGAACTGTACCAGTTTCTTTCTTTCTTCTGAAGTAGTACAGTCCATACGGTCCATCTTTTTCACACTGTTGTTTTATAGGTTCCCCAGAACCATGGAAAACATCTCCATAAAAGACACTTATCACCAACAGCTTCCTTCTTAATCTGTCAGTCACCTATATAAACTTTAGCCAACCTTCTAAGACTGAGACTATGTATTTCAACTGACTTTTTTTTTCTGTATGCTTCATGTTTCATCGTTCTACAAGTAAAAACGTTATCTGGAAACAGTTTCTGAACATTCAGAAGATTTGAATTTCTTACCTGAAAATGTTATATTGAAGCCTTCATAAGAAATTGAAAAATCAGATATAAATCGAAGCTGTGCTGTGAAGTTTCCAAAGAGGCCAGCTTTAATTGCAGGGGGCAAGACTGAGCCAGTTAATCTGGCTACTGGTTCTGTGAAGCTGCCATCTTCAGTGATGAGCAAATAGTCATGAGAACTCTCAAGGTGAAAGGTATGAAAAGCCAGCTGTACACCTTTAAAATATTTTTAAATGAAAAGTTAGATACTTAACAGCAATTCTTTTTTTCTCTTGTGTTATGCACAGATGATACAAGTCATAAGTTTTAAACGATATGAAAAGATTTTCCAAAAAAAGTAACTAAGTCAAAATCTGAAATTCACAAGATTTGCAAAAACATATAGACAGAGTACATGGGTTGCAGATGTTTAGTTCACATGTAGCTCACTCCCATAGGACAATTCATGAGATCCATTTCTATTTGTACAAATCAGTCTGAAAATTTTAAATTATATCCATATGCTTTATTCAATTTGCTTTAATATTTGCTTTTGTATTTGTTTTACTTTCTGCATTTCCTCAAAAACAGTACTACTTTTTATCTCAGCCTGGTGGAAGTGCCTACATAACAATTAAATACATGCAAGTTTTGTACAGACTTCCATACATGAATGATAATATTGTCTGAGACTAGTTATTTACTCAATTTTTGACTAGTTTTCTATCACTAACTTCCAGTCCACTTTCATTGATGAAAGAGTTGTTTTCCACTATGGTTAGCTTCCGAATGTGACTATCCAGTGTTGGAAAGTCATAAACATTCTTTATATATACACACACATATATATATATTATATTTAAAAATGTCACATGCAGCCTAAACAAAAATCATGTCTCTTAGGTTTTAAAGTGTAGACAGTATGAAGCATACTTCACAGACTGATGTCAGCCATAACAATCTTTCTTACTGTACGTGATAAAAAAGGAATATATTCATTAAAATTTGATTCAGTGGTATGTAACACACATCTCCATCTCTTTTTTTCACACATCTCATTTTTTTCACAGTTCTTTTAGACATATCCCTAATGGATAAACTGCCGATTGTAACTGCATATCCACACATCTGAAATTAAAATTTACTAACAAACACACCTGTCAAAGGTGCTGCTTAAAACACATAGAGAAGACCTTTCAACAAGGACTTGGTAGTTTTCACTGAATATTTTAGTGATATTTAACAAGCAGCAATATTTTCATATATTTTGTCTTTTCTACTTTCTTCCCATTTTTCCGAGAGGGATGAAAACAAACAAGTTTCCTTAGGTCACTGCTGACAGTATGTTTCTTGTCAAAATAAACACAAACTAAAGATATTACAATACTTGAAGACGTGTTTTGGGATATTAAGTAGAAACTTATTTTTTTTTAGAGAATAACAAGGCAGTTATTTACTTCCATCAGAAAAAAAAAATCTTGTGTTTTTCTCCTTTTTGATTTTTTAAAATACATAAAGATTACATTTGTATATGGAATTCATATTAGACTCTTACCCTTGCCATGCGACACTTCAATAGTCCAAGTACAGTTTAAGGAGTTAGGATAAAAATCAGGAAAACCTGGTGAAAGAACAGTTCCACTCTTCCCATGAATATATCCACCACATAAGGCTTAACAAGAGAAAAATAAGAAAAAAAAAAGAAGCTATACATGTAGTCATGTTCTTTGCAAAAATCACAGTTAACTCTTCAAACTCTTTAAACTACTCCTTGACTAAAAATGCAGTCAAGTAGTAAAATAACAGAGTTAATTAGTCTGAAGTGATCACATTCACATTTGAAAACAGCTTATTCTTAGACCATGAAAATGAGCTTATTTTTCCATTATAGCCCTTCCTTTTAGTTAGCAGAAGACAAAATAACTAAACTTTTTTTTCAAGATATTGAAAATAACTCATAATAACTCATATTAAGAGGGAGGGTTAAAAAAAAAACTACTTTTGTGTGAATTAACTATGACATTAAATATTTTAAGAGTTATGTTTCTTCTACTATATACTTAAACAGGTATCTCACATCATGTGTAACAAAGAAAAATAACTCGAAAGAAAGCATAATTTCTTCGAAGAATGAAAACATTGAAAGTTTTCTTAGTTTGATTTCTTCTCTGATATTCAGGAAAAATCTGCATTTTCCTCTCAGATTCTTTCATCATGAGTAATTTATTTGGAACTGAATATTTTGAAAGTCAAAAGAACTATGCTCAAAACATATGTATACTACCATTGGCTAAAGCAGGCTACTCAAATTTGCATGGTATATTAATTAAAATTTAAGGTTTGCATTTGCTATGTAGCTCAATATCTTACAGACAGCATGGCTGTGCTCTTCTCTCATGTCTGTTGTCCAGCTTATTATGTTATTTTAAAACTTTAATAAACTATGCATTTTACAATGCAATAACATAGCATTATTCTCTCTCTCAGAGTGGTAAGTTTTGTCATAAACTAAACAGCAAATAAATATGGGAAACTGCATCAATTTGTAGTAGTTGAGTGAAAATATGTATATGTGTATAGACATATACACATACACATAATATGTAGGTTTGTATTATATTTCAAGTTCTGTATTCATTTCACATTATACTAAAATGTTTATTAAACACTTATTAAACAAACAGGAGAAAAAGTATTTCACTGTCCTACATTCCTTGAAGTAGGCATTAAATATTTACACTAAATTCACCTAGTTATAAATTTAAAATTAAAATATGTAAATTATGATTTTTTATTTAACTCTCCAAAGAAAATTATTTTTATGTTCCACATTGATACCACAGTTTATCATTCAACACTGCACTTCATTTAGAAGTAACTCTGGCTATTGTGTTTCAGTACATCAGTGTACTGAGAAGCCCATAATGAAAATTGGAGCCCTGAATTTGAGTAAGTGCCCAATCAAAATGGTTTAAATCCAAGTTAGAAACAGAAACATTTTGTTGTATATAATTTTAATTTTGGCCTTTGACATTCCCCTGTAATCAATGAAAATCCTGGATTTGAAGAGTTAGAAATTCACTAATATAATTTACTAAGGCAGAGCCTTTGCTGATTTGGGCTTATGTGTTAGCATTCACATACTGATCTTTCATCACTGCCATAGAACACAGTTATATCTTAACAAGAAGGGGAGATGACCAAGGCAAACAAGATTTAAAAAATAATCGTTTAGCAACTAGGAGAGAGAAAACAGGAAACTCTGGAAAGAAGTTTACAGAAAGTTGCTTATGGATCATTATCAGGGGTATTGGGCTATTCCAGTTAAAATACTTTCTTACATTTGGATATTATTTTCTGTAGTTTATACTAGAGGGCTTTTGTAGCAATTATACAAGCATTCCACTACAAAACAGAAAAAAGAGAGGAAAATTAGAAAATCAAACCAATTTTGTAATTTCTAGGAAAATAACTTATATGGCAAGTCCCTTGAAACAAGCTCTAAGCCTTCCTAAGTAATTTCTTTCTACTAGTAATCAAATTAGCCCTAGCTCTACTCACCATTAGAGAGAAGCATGCATTCCTACAATGACAAAGGAATTGGAATGAACATATGCATACACATGCACATCTCTGGACTATCACAGTCTAACACTGGAGAGTTTAGAAGCACATAGAAATAGAGCTGAAAAAATATCATAGTTTCTTTAGCAGTGCTGGGGCACAGATACTGTGCTTTAGGGGAGCTGTGAATTGTTCTAAAATAATGTCTCTGATAAATTCACTAAAACATCACAGCTCTTACTGTCATTTGGCTGTAAAGTAGCTGGGATCTGGGGAAAAAATGGCCAGCAGGTTTGTCAAAGACAACAAGCTGCCAAGGAATAGTTGTGGAAGGAACAGCTGCGTAATACCACTGATATTCCACCTATATACTACTACCAAGATGTCATCATCTCAAGATACTGGTATATGACTTAAAAATAAAGCTGGTGATTAACTCTTGCCAAAATCATACTTGAAAATTGTTTAAAAACACTTCTAATGTAGTCATTTTTGGTAAGAGTTCTCAGCTGTGTTATTGCATTCATATATGGAGAAGAAATAAAGACATTTTACTGCAATCTTGAGCACAGTTTTGTTTTGGTCATGTAAGCATATGGAGAAGAAATCCACATCTGAAGTGTATTTTAACTGGACTTTCAAATTAAATTAAAAATATGATAAGTTAACTATACAGGTAGATCATGAACTGTTTTGGCATCAAGCATTCTAAGTTTCAAATAATGATTTTGGTGTTCAGCTTTCTAAGTTTAAGACTTGAGCTATGTTTATCACTTTGTTTTAAAATATTAGTTGAATGGCACCATTTTCATTCGTAAGTGAATGGCAGCACCTTCAGACAATTGCATTTTTTCAGTTAGTGAATAGAAATCTGAAATTTCACTAAACATTACGGTACTTTACTCAAAGCTGATAGAGCAAAGTGAGGTATGCCTTTTATTAACAGCGAAATCATTTTTGAAAAGGATGGGCATTGGTGTAACAGACGTGAGGTAGTAGCAAGGATAAGCTTAATTAGTACTTTAAGAAAGAAGATTAACTTAGCCGGACTTTAAAGCTGCCATCTGAAGAACTTGACACTTACCATCACAGCTGGGTAATGCATGATTCCACTGATGGTTTCTTTCACATATGAGCGGTTCCTCATCACTCAGGGTATATCCTGGGTCACAGCTAAAGGTGACTGTAGAGCGGATATTAAAGTTGTTACCATGGCGATGGCCATTCACTGGAATCCCTGGGTCAAGGCACGAATCCGATTCCAGAGTAACACCTGGAATACACAGGTTTAATTTGTTTAGTTTCTTATTTTCTTTTTGACAGTAAATAGAAAAATCCCAGGCAAAATACAAAATGAGTAAGATGGAGGAAATATCCCCCAAAATATTCTTGTTAATGTTGCCTGAGCTCTGACATAGGATATAAAGCACTTTGCCTCACTGTTGTCTTTGACTTAGAGCATAGGGGTTTTTTTTAATTTTCAAACAGAAAAGTCTAAATCAAGTAAGAAAGAAATGAAGATCTAAAGTATTTTTATTAAAGAATGAAAGAAAAAGACAAAATAAGCACTATAAGTAGTTAAGGTTCAGAGTATTAATATAAAATATTTTCTTTTGCTACTATATAAGTCACATTTAACTATTACATTTCATCTGTTACAGTTCTCTGGGATGAAGTCACATACTCTGTGAAGATTCAACTTTTCTCTGTCACAGTAATGCCTGTTTGACTTCTTAGTAAAAAAGCACAATGACAAGAACATGTGAACAATGCACTCAGAAATAATTTGTTAAATCCTACCAATATAATTCTATACATTAAAAATAGATGGAAAATGAAAATAGTTTAAATAGTTTTCATATAACTCTTATCTGATGGAATTAATCTTTAATAATTATGGCTTTTAGAAGAGATTGAATAATGTGTGGCAAAAAAACTTGGAGCTATATGTTAAGCAGCAACAACCACAACATAGTTCAAGCTCATTAAGTAAGTACTACACATTATGTGTATTGATAGCAGGTGATTGGAATTTCATCATGTATGAGTCATAATGAACACACTCAAGTGAAACAAAATAAAACCTCTCCACTGTGATGCAAGTAATTTCTTTCATTTATTTTCTGTTACTAAATCATGTTCCTGAAAAAGATAGTGACTGAATTCAGTGGTATCTCTTCAGTGGATGGGGATATTGTTCCTTCTACAGGAAGACGAGTATGGTCAGAGCAAAACTTGGCTCTCTATACCCACCTTTACAGTCACAAAAGCATATTTATAAGAGACTTTCAGAAACTGGTTTAATCACTAATCTAACTGCTTACTAGATTCCCTGAAGAGGAAAAAGTTACACATTTTAATATTATACTTATATATAGTTATATATATAAATATACTTGTGTATACTTATATATATAAAAAAGTATATATGCTTAATATTGTACATATTCACATGTATTTTTTCCTGGATCAAAATTATCAGAAAAAAATGAATATTAAAAAGATTGTTAAGAGTAAATTCTAAAGACTATGCATATTATATAATATTACATAAAATGACAAGGAAAACAAATCTGATAAACAGAAACATCAATCCATCTGAGAGCCAGAACCACTATGTTACTATCTATGCTACCTATTGCACAGTCACTGTGTCACTAAGAGAATTCCAATTTTTTTCTGGACAATGCAAGTATTCCAGCTGGAAGCTGGAGAGCTGTTCCTTTTCAGCAGCATAGTTTTATCCAGAATAGTAATAACACAGATGGTAAAGAACAATTTCTTGAAAGGTAAGAGATGAGTATTTCCTAATAAAAGGCTTGAATCAGTATGTCCTGCCATCTAGGTAGGCTTAATTTAATGAGGGGAACAGTGATAAATCATTTTTGTTTCAAAAAAATGAGCAATTTCCTGGAGTAATAAAATAGTTGCTTGCTCTCACAAATGGTTCCAAGAAGACAGGCCACATTATTGAATTAGGAGAGCCCCATTCTCTGCCCCAGTCTCCTGCTGAAATTCTCTCTAGAACTATGACAAGAACTGCATGTAAGTATGCCACCCAGCACGGGCCCAAGCCATGCAGGGGGTTGTGCTAAAAGCTGAACAGTAGGACTGCAAGAATGGGGCCAGGGCTCAAGCACCTCTCATCAGCACTAGACCAGCTCACATGATAACAAGCATTTTTCTGTAACCTACCAAGGATGAACTGGCCTCACAGAAGTGCGAGGCTGCAGATACATTCCTAGACTTTAGCGTCCTTCCAGCTCCATGGTAACGGGCTGAATTCATGCAAAATTGACACTAAAACAAAGTGTTGTTACAGCACTGAAAACTGTGATACAGTTAACTGATATGAAACCTCCTGCGTGAGAGAACCTTGAAATAGTAGGGCTTTAATGGCAGGGCAATATCAAGGATGGCTAACAACAAGGAGGGAGAGAAGTGGAAAAGAGCAAAGGCAGCCAAAGGGCAGGGTAAGAAGAAAGCAAAAATTGAGATTATGCTATTTCGAGATGCTACTTCACTCCTCCTCCCCATAACATTTGAAAAACTTTTTGTGAAGAATGATTGGAGAGTATTTTCAACTAACAGAGCAACTGCCACATAAAAGAGACTACTCTGGTGCATGCTAATTTTGTAAAGTGTGGTAAAGCAGCTCATTTAGAGCTGCAATGGTAACACATCCTGCTCAGAGTTAATAGCCAGCACAGGCTTTGAGCAGAGTTCTAGGCTCAACTCCAATGCCAACTGCAATTCTTAACTACTAGACCACTAAGAGTGTTATCTTGTTCCCCTTCCTATCTGCCAACACACCCCTTTTAAAGAGTAAGCAAGAACAGATCTTTCAATGGCTCCACATGTGTCGTATTTTCCATACAAGCATCCTCCTGATTTTTTAATGAGTCCCAAAGTGCACACAATGTTACCTCTAGGGTTACAAAATAAAGTGGAATAATTATTTCCTGAATGTTAGGTAAAACAGTTCTCTTAATATTTGCCTTTGCTGTATCTTTTTTTTCTTTTTCTTTATGGTGATTCACTGCAGCAGTCTGTAGATTTGACTTTTTACAGTACTATTATAATTTTCTATGCATTTCTTATGTCTATGTAAACACCATATCCTTTTCTACTGTATTTCTATTTTATATTTGTGAATATCATTTCTCCTTCTGCTTTATGCCTAGTCTTTTTTTTTTTTTTTTTAAGGAACTTCACTACTTCGCTTTTTATTTGTAGACCTTTTCTTCAGGTCATCTAGCTTGTTCTGAATGATAATCTTCTAATCATACCCCCTGAAGTAACTGCAGTAATTGCAGGTTGCAATCATCCTCAACATTTCTAAGTGTATTACTTATGCCATCATCAAAATTGGTAATAAAAATATCAGATAGCATTGGATTCAGTCTACACCACTGTAGGACACCTACAAATTTGAAGTTAGACAATAAATTATGGATTGATGGCTGTTTTTTGCATAAGTACTTTCAGCATTTTTGGAATAACTTTATATAAATTAAATGTATCCAGTTCCTCTGTTAGACTGACAAAAACCCTGTAAAAGTCAATATAGAGTTCTTTCCTTCCCACATATACACGATCAGTTATCCTCTCAGGATAGAAATTAGATTGGTTTGACATGATCTGTTTTTATCAAATACAAGTCACCTGTTTCTTACTACCTTGTTTATCAGCTTGAAAATAATATTTTTACAATACAAGAGTCAAGATAAAACCAACTGCCTTAATCCTATTCTTTGTTTGTTTGTTTGTTTAAAGATGCATGGCGTTCTGCAGCCATCTGGAACTTCCCTACAGCTTTGAGTTTCCAAATATAGTTCTCAGCGATGATATCTTCTCAGCTTTCTTTCCAAGCTAAGATGTCTATCAAAGAATAGCACAAATGCAATTATTAAGGGGAAAATATATATATATATAGTTAATTATAGCTATAAAACAACAAAAAGTGATAACAAATATGTCTGTTCAAACATAAATAGTTAGAAAATGAGAAAATAAAAATAATTCTGTAATTAAAATGTGAATAAATGTCAGCTGACAATAGGAAAGGCTAAATGTTCTGTTGCTGTTTTTGAAACCTAAAAATAAATGTTAATTATGAATATTTACCTAAAACATAAAATTTAACAAGATAAGAGCGGAGCATATGGAAAAAAGGAGATTAGACAATGCTTAGATAATTAAATATATTTAATCATCTTATTTCATGAACACTTTCATAAAAATTGCCTTTCTTTTTCAGGCTCTCCACTGGTTCTCTTTATCAGTCAGAGTAAAATCAACTGCTGAAACAAAAAGTTCTTCCCCCTATTCCAGTAACTTCTTCAACTGAGGTATCATTGACATATAGAAATAAATCTTTCTTCATATTCGGACTATCCCAAATATTATTTTTTCCTCAAATAAAAACTATAAGGAAGCATTTTGGCTCTGTGCCATGATTTGTAAAACTGATTCTGAGCTGTCTGAATGACCTTGACCCTTTGTCAAGCCCATGAATATTTCACATCTGTGCATCTAGAAGTTCTTTTTCAAAAGCAATCAAACGCAATTTCATAAACTGTGAATAAAGATTATCTTTATAATCTCAGGAATACTCCATTTACAAGAAAGCCAGAACATCAATTTTACTAGACTTTCAAATGACGTAAAAGGAAAGGTTTTACAAAGATCAGCCACAGATATGTGCACTAATATCAAAAATATGTTTATCTTTAGAATTGTGTTTTGTTTTGTTTTCCTAGGTAAATTATACATATTTTGTACATATTTTCCACTTGGCTGAACATCTGTGTATATACACATTTAGAATAATATAGAACTCAAAGAAAAAAAAATCTCAAAAATAATTAATATGTTAGGGTTATCTGTTAGTATAGTGTAGGTAAATTCAAACTAGAAAAATTCAAATTCTGCACTTTATTTGTTCATATTTTGTTTGCTCATTCTCAAATTGAACATTTTTTCCAAAGCTAAATAAAAAACTGGCAAAGAAATATCAAACTTACTCTCATAACGAATTAGGAAGCCAACACTGGAACGACTGTTGTCTGTAGTGAACAGCAGATACATGTAATTGCCAGTACTGATAAGGAACTGAGGGGCTTGTGTTCCATGGTACTCTCCAATTAATGGTGATGAGTTAGCTGGCCCATCTCTGACCTCCAGTGTATCATAATTAACTTCAGTCTGAAATCTGTAAGATAATATATAAATAGATCTAAAAATTAGAATTTCTACAGATGCATCACAGTATTAGAACAACAACTAAAGGTTCTAAGTGTCTCTTTGCTTGTTTTGTTTTGTCTAGTGTAATTTAAATGTGGAAGGGGTGTAATATACTTCAGAGCAACAATAGGACTGAATCAAAAAAAAAAAAAAAAAACAAGGATCATCTGGGCAGAAAATTTTAAATTGTCTCAATGGATAATACCTTAGGAAGACCCTAAAATAATCTCACTCTTAGGTTAAAGTGTAGTAGGACATCCTAGGAATATCTTTACCCACAATACTTCACTTTTTTATTCCAATAATTTTATATTTCTTTTTTGACAAATGCTTTTTTATACTCTCAACCATTCATTTTTTATTATTTCTGATTTCAGATCACTTCTGAAAAAGTTCATCATTACCTAATTAATTTTGTCCTATGAAGTAAAATCATGCGAAAATATTACACTGAGATTGTTTTTTGAAATTTGCATACAGTGATGATAGGCAGAATCTCATTAGCTTCTCTTAAACAGGTTGAAGAACATAAAATATCAATGAGAATGGAAAAGAAGTGACTGAGGAGATAGTTGATTTGTAAGAATAACCTCAGTTAACAGCAGAGTCCGTGTCTCTGTGGCAGTCACTGAACCACGTTACATTTCTCCATTTCATAAAGAATGCCTGTGTGTGCACTCCTCCACTGCTAGTTACTCTTAAATCAAATAGCTCACATCTGTTTTCTGTAGATGGAACTTTGACATTATTCACATCATTTTTTTCAAGACATTTTGTGGATATATCAGATATTCTTGTGAAATGCAGGATCTAAAGCTTTCACATCAAGTTTTCTCTCAGCAAAGTTTCTCTTGTAACACAGACATCCACAATGATCTGAACTTATTTGCCTGTATACACAATACCCTCATTTTCATAAGATTTTAATCTTCCAGAGCAAAAATGAAAAATGTTTATGCTTTGAGATTTTGTGTTCCCTCTCCATAGGGTAGATTAATTCAACTTCTGAGAGTGAAAATGAAAAAATAAACTGTCTGTAAAATGTAACATTTTTTCAAAGTGAATGTCCTTCAGCTGTCTTGTCAATAGTGGGGAAAAGAAACCATGGTCTTGTTATTGAAGACAACTGCATATTTTTAAACATTTAAGAGAGGGGAAATCTAAGGTACATTCATTCAAAGTGTAAACAAACTTTATACTTTGTAGGCATTGATAGCAGGCTTAACATAGTTCCCCAGCCAGGCCATTATATTTTATAGAACAGGTATCATTAGCTGCATAAAATCATCCTCACATGTGTAGCAGTATCAGTAGTCAAGAAAGCCAAACTCTTATTATTTTTTTTTAATCTCTCATAAATCCCCTAATCCCAGAAACATATTCAGAATTATCAAAGTGTTTCTTTATCCAGAGATTGATACCTGAACTTCCTGAAACCTCTGACTTGGGCCCTTATCTTCACATTGTCCTTTTCTGAACACACAAAAAACCTTCCACACTCATGCTGCTTTCATCCAATTTAATTACTCTCTATGGGCATGGTAGCTCAAATCCAGATGATTTTCACTCCTACCTATCCATTCTGATGGTGAGATATAGACTAATGCTTTAACCATCCTCAGAACCAGCCTGTGTGTTCATACTAACTCCCAAATCATGTTTATAACTGTTTGAGAAACCATTAGCTGGCAGGTACCAAAAGCATCTGAGAGAGTTTTCCATCAATCTCACAGTAAACACTTGAGTTCGTGTGTCTGGGAAGGTCCTCTGATACTGTTTAACTTACCAAAATAGACAGACTCAGGGTGCACTATTTGAATTGCAATATTTCTTCAATGACTTTCCATAACTTCAAGAATCTACAGTGATTCACCAGCAGCAGAATAAGGAAACCATACACTTAGACATACATTTAGGCCGGTTTTAACACTTACAATGTTTACACAGAATGGACTCAAGATCAGTGCTTCAGTATTTTAATTATTTTAACAGTTGTGTTTGTGAAAGAAACTGATTAGGAACAAACTGCTCTCAACCAACAATTTTCTTTGCAGGGCAGTGAGGTTACAGTGGATTAAAGAAACACAAAGTGAGAAATCAATAACCTAACATTATTGTTTGATTTCATTATGATTCTATTTGTAGACAGCACTGTCATGCTGTTATATGAGTATATATGTGCATCCGCCTATTTAAAGTCAGTAAATGCCGTGATTAAACTGGATCATATGACACAGGATCCTATTTTTCTCATTAATATCAATAGAAATATAGCAATCCCATTAATAAGATCACAGAGTTAAAAAATCTGAAACTACAGACAACAATAAGGTTTCAATGGAAGAAAAAAGTCATCAATGGCATAAATTCTGGAATTTCCTGCCATATGCAATGAAAGCAAATAACCTTATCAGTTTTAAGAGCCAATATGATAATTTTATGAAAGAATTGTTTAAATAGATATTTCCTTTCCCTAGTGTTTGTTATTCTGTCCACTTCCTCCTAACTTTAATGTGTTAATTAGAAGGCTAAATGGGAATGAAAAAGGGGTATGATAAACTAATCAGACAAGCTACATTAATCTTCTAACCTAAAGTAATTTTCATTCTCCTAATCATGTTCACCAACTTATCAATACATTAGAAATTTTCATTTATATTTTCTTCAAAATGTGACTAGAACTTTAACTGTTCAGTGGTCACCAGAGGTCAAAGTGCTTCATTTTATCAATGGAGATGAGATTCTTTTTTTAGTGTGTTTCACTTTGCAATTATTTGATCCACATGCACTTCTATTGCCCAGATACTCAATCCTGTAAGATTTTTCAGAAATTCCTTAGTCGCAGTTATCTTTTTCTTTTTTCCAATACCCTCAATAAGTTGGTATTATCAGCCCAGTTCTCTCTTTAAGGTCATTTCTCTACATGCTGTGCAGTGTAAAGCAAAGTACATAACCTTGTAGAACACCTTAAATCTCAAGTGACTTTTATCTTCTGTTCATAAAATTTTCATTCATGCAAGGCCCTTCCATGTATTAAAATGAAACTTAATTTTTTAAAGCAAGGGGGAGTGGTAGCAGCCATCAAAAACCATAGATTTTGTAAACCCACGTAAACTATGACAAATGTTCCTCCGTGCTTTCTCATGCCACCTAAGCATTGCAGTAGTTTTTGATTTTTGATTTCTTTTTCAAATGCCATGTCGACACTTTCTCAGCATATCATATTTATTCATGTTTCCATCAGTGTTACTCTTTGTTACAGTTTTCACAGTGGGTATCCCATATGCAATTCTTTAGATACCTGTAGGAGACTTCTAAAAGCAATATTGTATTTGGCCCTTGTAATACACAGGTATCAAGACAGTTTTAAAAGAAGAATTACATATAGTTTTAACTTATTTTTTCTTTATGGAACACCATTGGGAGGATAGGAGTAGTATGACTCTATATGGCAATATATATATATTTTTCTTTTTCCTAGTTTGGATTCTTAAAGAGTATTTTTCTTCTTCAATATTAAAATAAATTCTTGTGATCAGACATTACCTGTTGTTTGACTTTATGATTCTCACCTGTCAAAAGTGATCTTAATGGAATGTCCTGGTCTTGCTTCGATCACCCATTCACAATTTAGTGAATCCTTATAATATCCTGGCCATCCTGGTGGCAAGATAACACCACTCGATGATGTCAGATGTCCACCACATGGTGCTGGAAAGCAAAAGCAGTATATTTGACTAACATGCATTATTTGTAACACAATAAAAATATTACTAGAACTTAAAAAAAATAAAAATAACAAAAATAAAAGAGGCAGTATTATATATGACAGAAATACTTCTACATTCCGTTATGTTACGAACCCTTTGTTTTGCATGGCCTCAAAATTCCAGCATCATGTCTTGTCATAGCTTATTACTCTAGATATCTTAATACATATAGCACGGGACTTCTTTATGCCAGCCAGCCTTCTATCGAGTGGCAGCTTATTTCATTAAAATCAACATAGCATCATCTCTTTTGTTTTTTCAAGATTCCACATTTATGGGGAAATAGCAGTGAAGTCTGTTCCAAGTAATTTATACAGTACACTGTTTCAATTTCACTACACCATTAATACCTGGCTGAGCAGTGATTCAACTCAGTGGCACTTTCAAGTATCCCACAGAATCATCCAGTTACACAATAGCTGAGGTTGGAGGGGACAAACCCTTCAAACCCCAACCCCAGCTCCCTTGAACTGAAGAGCCCAGAACTGGACACAACACTCCTAAAACTGAACACAGTTGGACTGTGTCTGGACCCTCCTGGACAATCCTAATGGGGCTTCACCACTGCTGACTAGAGGGAAAAGGTGACCTCTTCCCTTGTTAGTAATACCCTTCCTAAAGCAATCCAGGAAGCTGTTGAGCTTCTTTGCTTATAGGGCACACTGCTGGCTCAGCACTGGGCCCTCCTCCAAGGGCCTTTGTGCAAGACTGTTCTCTGGCCTGAAGAGGTGTCAAGGAGGCTCTTACGGAATATAGTGTGAAACACCTTACTAAAATGAAACATCTACTGCTTTGTCCTCATCCATCAAGTCATGTCATCAGAGGCTATGAGGTTGGTCAGGTGTGATTTCCCCTGCATAGATCCATGCAGGGATCCATGCTGACTTCCCCAAATCCCGCTATGGTTTTCCCCAAAAAACACGAAAACACACACAATGAATCTGTCTCCAGGGAAAAATGATCAGCAAGAAACACAGTTATTAGACTATACTATTAAACTAGACTTTTTCTTTTTTTTTAATTATGTTTGGTCATATTAAATACACGAACAACCACAGGACTGTGGATTACTGTATCACTACCTATATTCCATTTATTATAGATATTAAGTATACAGAACCAAAAAATTAGTTGATCAGAAATCTCTGGCAAGTAGAAACATACTAGATTATCTCTAAACTATCCAGCAATGGTGCTTGGTTCAAATTGTCATTTAAATCCCAAACCATTTTTAAAATCTTAAAAAAAAAAGAGAATCCACATCAAAAAGAATGAAACTTGAAGGAAACTTGAAATCTATACAGTCTTCAAACCCAAAAGAAACCACAAACAAAATCTAATAAAGAGTCTAATCCTTTCCTCATTAAAAACTAGTTAAGTGTCCCATAAGGTTCAGAGAAAAAATAACTGAGATGAATTTATGCTATTTCTCAGCTATTTTAGTATTTATTTTATCTACTATTTTCACCTCAAAGCTCCTTTGGCCTTGTGGAAACTGTCTAACAATGTTATATAAATACTCCACTGAATACTGTGTCACTACTTGTGTGCATAGAGCTCAAAAATGAGAAAATACTGAAGAAATACTGAAGACTTTCCCTATTCTCTGTTTTGGAGCAGGCTGGTTTTGCTTCATACTAAAAACCCTGCTTCCCCAAGTGACTCACTACATGGCTTAACTCGAAGAAGAAATCCTGCCGGGGCAGTAGTTAAGTTCACACACATCAAACATTATCGGACTGCTAATAGATTTTTTCTCAGTATCTCTATATTTTTTAGAAATGTACAGACTTATAGGAACCTGAGTTTCCAAACTGCTAAAATGACAAATATCATAAAAGTAATATGATCCAGACATTTAAAGTTATGATAATGACACTGAAATTAATGTAGGTGTGTTATAAGAGATTTACAGCACTTGCAGGGTTTGATCTTGTTTCTGCAAAAACGTAAGGTTTCCGTGAGTGCATGATTCTATATCTATTGTTTATCAGAAGATACACAACATTCTGAACATTACTTTTAACAGAAACACACTAGTTATTTATTATATCTGTTTCACTAGCTATTTATTATTTCTATTCATACTGCGTGTCTTGTGACCTGGGAAGTACTCTCACTTGAATGTGTCATGATAGTTTCTTTTTTTTTTTTTTTCCATGTATATCTTTGTTTTGATGTTTTGAGGAAATAAAAAGTTTTTTAAAGGACATTTAAATAGAAACCTATCCTTTCTGTGTGGTATATTATATTTATTCTTCAGTGCACCACACCCAAAGCTGTTATAACAGCTATAAACTCGCTAGCAAATAATGCTGGTGACAATCAGAACTTGAAAAGAATAGCAACCAGATTTTTATAATGCTAATTTATTCCAAGAATATAAAAGAAAGTTATCATCTCATT